GGGGGGGGGAAAGCAAATTTAGGTTGTCTCATTTTATGTGGTATAATGGCAGGCGAACATTTTTTATCTTACACTATTCATGCTTACTTTCACAAGCATTTTGGAATATAAATGAGAACTAATCCTTGTATTCAAGTGCAGATTTCTAACCAGCAAATATGGACCTGCACTCTAGTTCACAAAGCTTCAAAGCTGCCAATTATTTCACATTACTGGAAATTGGGAGAACGTACAGGATAGTAGACAAAAGAAGATGCATGCATTTTGAAATATCTTTTGCAGCTATTAGATGCTGATGTCCAGAGCATTGTAACAAGCAGCAGCAATTTCTCTAATATGGGCCAGTGCAATTCTCTTAATAAGTCTCTCTCTACAATCTACGGACACTTCCTTCTGCATATGTTTGCTTGTAATGGTACAGAGAAGATACTTGTGCTCCAGAGTACTAGAAACTGCAAGGAAACTGCGCCTTCAAGGGAAAAAAAAGCTATAGAAATTCAGTGCAATCATCAGAATGGAAACCCAGCTTATAATTCCTTCCTATAGGACAATGAAGCAAGAAAACATAATTAAATGGTTATAATATCAGGCTGGGGCTGGGGAGACAAGACACTGAGAAAAATGTTTCTCTCTTAATGCAAACTACCAAAAAGGATGGCTGAGAGGGATTTAAAGAGTATATGGAAAACCATGTACAGTACGTTATTCTGCGCTCCTTACAAGAAAGCCAGTATCCAACCAATTGACAATATTTTTGACATAACTCTCAAAAATATTGATACAACCACTCAATCATTTCAAACAGAGGCAGGTGACAGCTTAGACCTGCACATTTCTTCCCTCTATCTTTATATATTTAAAAGCTTACAAATCTTTAGTGACATACCATATTTTTGACTAACACAGAAAAACCTTCAAGTTAAACTAAGTCATCATTCATATACATTTGGGCTGCAAACCAGGAACACAAACCATAATTTGCTCGTTTGGGCTGGAAGAGCAGACAACTCTTTGCCACCAAACCAGGTTCCAATTTCACACTTGAGGTCATAGGAAGGGGAGATGGGGCCACTGTTTTTTCTTAACCAGAAGGAAGAGGTGGTCATGGTGGTGGTAACAGTAACAGTAAAAACCAAGATTTCCACTTATTTCTAAGCCTTTCATATATAAGTTTCATAACCCTCCATAGTGCCATGCTCCATTTTGCTCTCATCATGGATTTGCTTCCATTGTTCATGCCCTGTTAAACAATTTCAGTTTAATTAATTATCCTGCTGATATGAAATCACCAAAGGATCCTTCCTTTTTAGGTACATGCAGACTCATTAACATCAAATGTAATAGATTTTTTAAAATAAAAGCTTACAAAAAGGGATACTTAGGGGAAAAAGGAAGGAAAGAAGAACATTCAGTTAAGTAGCACAATTCAAGCATGTTTTGTTATCACCGCCTATCAATAGTAATTTTGCTTTTTTTAAAAGGAAAAAGAGGGGTTTCATTAAAATTTGGGAGTCAGGACACTACAGTATAAAAATCTATTTGAAATGTATTAAAAATATGCAGACGGAAGAAATTTTTTAGACAGTTGCCATTAAGAGTCCCAATTCAGCTTGCATTGAAAAATGAACATTAAACATAATAGCAACAATAAGAACAAGGAATTGTTAGCAGCTTTTAGAATTTTCATTTTGAGCAATCAGATATATGATCGAAGATGATGCCCTTCAGATATAACTCTCAGACACCATGAATAGTGACGAGGACTAATGGGATAGCAGTCTAAAGCAGATGGAGGCAACAGTGTTGAGGAAAACCACTTTAGAGGTGCTCCACAAATTTAGCCTGTATCCATTGTCAAATTATGGTACAGTAATGTACAGTATATCTTTTATATCATAGATAAGACTATCCTAGTGTCTTATTTCTGGATACCTCTGTAAGTTAGACAGAGGCTGGGAGTTTGATTCCCCAAATACTCACAAGAGAAGAGCCAACTTATGAATCTTGGGGGAAGTTGCACAATCTCATGGCACTATCAGAAGAAGGGAATGTTGAGCCACTACTATTGTCTACTTAGAAGGCACTAGAAAGGGTAATCATAAGTTGAAACCAACTTGACTGCATATAATTACTAAGGAATTACATAGCCCTTGTACAAGCTGCTGGGGTTTGGCTCTGAACAAGAGATCCTGCAAATTTCAAGCAAATAAAATGGATATATCTACAGCATTAAATACTTTCGGATTCTATGTTGACTTTCAAATCAGCAAACTGGGATTCTAATTCATTTAAAGTTTGACAAGTTGAGACGTTTTCAACCCTACAACCTTGAATTGTTCGCTTTGACCTTACAACACTGAGGACAATGAAACATTGCCACATATGTTGCTTCCCTGCACATTTTATCAAGGGGCTAGAGGAGAACTGATAGTGCTGTTTTTCGCATCACTTCCAGGCCACTCTGATGAGATCTTACTGTAAACATGTACTGAACTATGCACTTTTGAAAGCTGTTATGTCCTTAACGGTATTTTTGAAGCCAGGCCAAGATGTTTGCCAACTGTTAACTGCATAGTCTCTTGCTAAACAAACATGATTAAAAAAGCAAATAATTAGCTTTTGTACCTATTTTGAACTGTTACTCCTATTACTAATATTATTAGTAAATATTGCTACACAGTACATTTTTGTAAGTTTCCCCTCCCCAAAAACTAGGCTTAAGCTAGGTTAAAGTTCTTAATGGACTGCTAACTGTATAAATTGATTTTTATTGTTCTCATGGCTAGACACTGGCCAGTATCCTTTTGCATAATTATGCAAACAGTGCAATTTTTAGAGGCAAAATGTCTCAAGGCTGCACAACTTAGCACACAATAGATAACACCTATAGTGGTTACTTCGCTTTATTCAATTTGCCTTCAAAGGGTATAACATTTATGTTTTACACTGGGACAGGGTGGATTTGATTTAAATAAATAAATTTAAATAATGATGCACCACCCTGAATAGATTTTTCTAGATGGGTGACATTGATTGATTGATTGATTAGTTAATTAATTAATTATCAATCAATTAATCAATCACTCAGAGTTCTATTTGATTTAAATAAATAAATTTAAATAATGATACACCACCCTGAGTAGATTTTTCTAGATGTGTGACATTGATTGATTGATTGATTGATTGATTGATTGATTGATTGATTGATTGATTGATTGATTGATTATCAATTAATCAATCACTCAGAGTTCTACCCCACCCATCTAGACCAAAGGTCTACTCTGGGCGGCAATCAATCAATCAATTGTGATTTTAAAAAATAATTGATTTCTATCCACCCTGCACAACAGACTCTGACCATTTTTATATACAGTGGTGCCCTGCATAGCGAGGTTAATCCGTTACCCACCCATCTAGACCAAAGGTCTACTCTGGGCGGCAATCAATCAATCAATTGTGATTTTAAAAAATAATTGATTTCTATCCACCCTGCGCTGGGGTGACTACACAACAGGATTCTGATCATTTTTATATACATGGGAGTTTTGTGGACTGTAACAAGTATGGACTAAATAAATTCATCTAATCCGTTACGGATTAACCTTCGCTATGGGAAAACATCGTTAAGCGGAACGGGGAAACCCACTGGAACGCATTAAACTTCATTTAATGCGTTCCAAATGGGCCTAAAACTCACCGTTCTCCGATGTTTCTCCACGTTCTGGCAGCCATTTTGGGTGTCCCGGGGGCCATTTTTGGTGTCCCGGAAGCCATTTTGGGTGTCCCAGCAGCCATTTTGGGTGTCCGGCGGCCATTTTGGAACCGCCGAACAGCTGTTCCCCCATGGTAATGCGAGCATGCCCTTGCATTAGCGATGGGGAAATCCTCATCGCAATGCAGATTCATCGTTCAACAGTGCGCTCGTTATGCGAGGCACCACTGTACATGGGAGTTTTGTGAACTGTAACGAGTATGGACTAAATAAATTCATTAGAGTACAATAAATGTTTTTGTCACCCCAGCAAATTCCTGATTGGCTTCTGTTCTGTACAGACTCACTTACAAACTCTGTGAACAGGCAAATACATCATGTTCCTAATACTGTTCACAAAAACCTTCCCTACATGATACAGTACAGTCCTCTAGGAGCTTTAGGCTATTTAACAAATTGTTTCTAACCAGGATCAAAGAGAAAATACAATTTGTAATCTCCTAATTCTTATAACCTAATTTCATTCCTGATTTGATGCATTAGGAGACAAATTAGCTGTTATAAGTGAGCAACTGCTCTTTAAAGAGCAACCCATTAATACCAGAAATTCATAGATCATCTAGTTTAACACCTACTTACCCTCAACCTCTATTTGACGACTTCAGTAGAAGTCTACTGGTGGATTCCACAATTTGGAATACTCCTCCCCAAAGTAAAATATGTCTGCGCACACAACAGGCATTTATGAAGGATGTTTGAGGCTTCCTCCATACAAGGAGGAAGAATTTTTATACAGAGGAACTTTCCAATGATCTGTCCTCTGCAGTCCAAAAGTTTACAGTCCAGCAATAATAAGACATGATCACATGAGATTGCTGAGCATCTGGTTCAGCTTGAATACCCACCCATCCTACACAACAAAAGGTTGGCCATGGTTACTGCTGTAACACATGACGAGCACCCAAAGCAGCCTCATTTACCTTCTCTTTCTTTAAAAAAAAATCGCACCTTAGAACGAATCAGATTTCTATTTATCCATCTCTCACTGACATGACACAACTCAGCAGGATGCTTGAAGCCTCTGTGCTCAGAGTTTGCACACATTCATCCCAATCAACTGAAGTCACAGCTGTGGTAGTTATTTGCCCTTAGGAGATCCCCTCCACACCCAGTGATCACCGCTGTCTTCCCAACAGTGAACACCATTTAAAATATAGTACATGTGTTTGAGCACAGACAGGCATAAAAGTAGACTACCTTCACATTATCTAAGAGAGTCATGTGTTACCTCTTCTTGTCTCTCCAGCCATTTGTCCACCATGGGGTGTGTGGCACTTAGTGAAGAGCGAGCATTGTCTCTCTGAAACTGGTTAGCAGACCAGCTACTGGTGTCCCGTGGAAGGCTTCTATAATTTTCATCTTTCTGTTTCAAAAGAAAGAAAGAAAGAAAGAAGAAAGTGCTAAACAGGAACACTTTCAAACTTCAACACGTTTTTTTTCCGAAGGATGACCTATCAGAAGAGCCAGACCAGAAGAAAACTACAGCACACCATTTAAGTAGATGTGTCTCTTTATTGTGCAATGACCCCCCACGTCTGCACATGACAAGTGTTCTAGGGACTGATAAAACACAAATGACACCTGCACATTTTCAGGGTGCCAGAAGCATACATTTTTTCTTACAGGGATGCAAAAATAAATAAATAAATACATTTGCACACAAAATGTCTTATCTTCCAGTATCAAGAGTCTTCAGATGACTCTTATGTAGTGTTGAGCTCTACACATTTTTGACAATTGCTTTTTCTGATGTGTGGTCCACAGGCAATATGATAGATCAAACTGAGAAACTAAGTCATCCCTAGACTCCATCGTTTGATAAAACCAGGCAAAATCCTCATGGCTCTTGTGAATGATAATGCACTACAAAGTAGTGTCCATACTATTACAGAGCCCCCAGCACCCTTACACTTGGCCCCAGGAAATCCTCAATTCAATAGTTCACACTTTGCTACAATCTGATAATTGACAGTAGACATATGTGATTAGGCAGATGCTGCCTCACCGGTGGAATGTCCCTAGTTATTCTTTTAATGATTTGATCATTCAGAGAACACATCAATGTTGACCTGCCTGCTGAGTGTTTTGAAACAAGTTGGAGCAACAAAAAAACAGAAAGTGTGGTTGACACCTTGGATGAAGATTTCACCAAGTTCGCCCAAAGTTCAAGTTGAATGCTCTCTTATGAAGACTTACTTTAGAGAAACACATCCAAACACATCTTTTAAATGCAATGAGAATGGAATTTAGGAAATGGCCTAATGGAGAAATAAGATGATGGGGACAGGAAACATGTTTGTCTACTTCTAAGAAACACAACTGGATGGGCCCATGGGTCAGTATATTCCTATTCGTGATATTAAAGAACTTTAGGGTACCGACATGTATATAATCAGGGCAGCATCACAATGTGTGTTACCATGACAATTTACTGTAGATGTTCCAGAGTATCACCTAGCAGGCAGTGTGGTTCAGCACACTTACAGAAGAAAAACCACAGTCAGTATGTACAGGACCACAGCTGACAATCTGAAGCAAGCAGTTATGAGTATCGTAAATTGAGCACAACCAAGTTGGGAGAAATTTGGCCAACATGTAAAGTGCTGTCGCCATAGTAACAACATCTCTTCTGTGTACCCTTACAGCTATAGATCTCTTTGGGGGCAAAACCTTTGAAACAGTGCACAAAGCAATGTGGGTTTATGCCCAATCTGATATTCATATCATGCTCCCCACCACCCAAAAGCTTGAGATCATAATAAATATCAAAAAGGAGCTTAAGGTTTTATTAAAGTACAGAAGGGAGAGGGCCCATAGGCCAAATACCAAGTCCCTGAAATCTCTCCCAATATTACAAAGGCAGCTGGTTGGATTTTAATAGCCATCCGAAGGCCGCCGCACAAAGTGGCAGGTCAGGTGTGCTCGAATATTGCTTCTTATTCCATTTCCTTTTTCTGTCAGGAATATATTTATAATTGCAAAGAGCCAAGAACAACAATTTAAATCATCTGAGGTGGAGCAAAATTAAGGCAAAAAATCACAGCTGGGACAAGAAATATGACTTGACATGAAGTGAAAGCATCCTAACTCCATGATTTATTAAGGGAGACTCGCTGGAGAAAGGGTCTTTTGGCTCTTCGGAATAAGCAGACAAGTGTCCTTGCCAGTTAAGCCTGGGTAGATAATAAAAAGGAACTCCCACTCCTTTATTGATTGGCAATTCTAAACAACCAGGCATACGTTGGAAACCAACCACACAATCCTGTTGTATGCAAAAAAGTAATCTTCTAGACAGTTTCCATTAAATTTATTGTTTAAATTTTATGTTGAAAGCGGCCTAGAGTGGTCCATTGGTCCAGATAGGCGGGGTACAAATCAAATCAAATCAAATCAAATCAAATCAAATCAAATCAAATCAAATCAAATCAAATCAAATCAAATCAAATCAAATCAAATCAAATCAAATCAAATCAAATCAAATCAAATCAAATCAAATCAAATCAAATCAAATCAAATCAAATCAAATCAAATCAAATCAAATCAAATCAAATCAAATCAAATCAAATCAAATCAAATCAAATCAAATCAAATCAAATCAAATCAAATCAAATCAAATCAAATCAAATCAAATCAAATCAAATCAAATCAAATCAAATCAAATCAAATCAAATCAAATCAAATCAAATCAAATCAAATCAAATCAAATCAAATCAAATCAAATCAAATCAAATCAAATCAAATCAAATCAAATCAAATCAAATCAAATCAAATCAAATCAAATCAAATCAAATCAAATCAAATCAAATCAAATCAAATCAAATCAAATCAAATCAAATCAAATCAAATCAAATCAAATCAAATCAAATCAAATCAAATCAAATCAAATCAAATCAAATCAAATCAAATCAAATCAAATCAAATCAAATCAAATCAAATCAAATCAAATCAAATCAAATCAAATCAAATCAAATCAAATCAAATCAAATCAAATCAAATCAAATCAAATCAAATCAAATCAAATCAAATCAAATCAAATCAAATCAAATCAAATCAAATCAAATCAAATCAAATCAAATCAAATCAAATCAAATCAAATCAAATCAAATCAAATCAAATCAAATCAAATCAAATCAAATCAAATCAAATCAAATCAAATCAAATCAAATCAAATCAAATCAAATAAATAAATAAATAAATAACAACAACAACAATAACAACTCTCTGAGAAGACACTTGCAAACAATACCAGGGCTTTCAGACCTTATATAACTTCCTCAGATGAACAGCTAATTATGGACTATTCCCTATTTTTAAAGGAAGCAGATATTTCTATTCAAAACTTAAGGTATGGTCCTCACTGAGATGGCAACTCTACACCCAGCTGATAGCATACCAAACCACAGATGGATGTTCATGTTCCCAACATGAAGGGTTCCTGATGCATAAAAGGGAGGAGCATCTACCGCCCTGACGTCTCAGCCGTGTTTGGAGTTACAGTCCCAAGCACAAGAAGGCTTGCCTCCCTAGTCCAGGGAGGATTGCTGTCTGTCTTACCAATTTGATTTGGTTATAATCAACTGTTTAAAAATAAAGATCTCACCCAAAAACCAACAATTTGCAATATTTTAGAGAACAAAACAATGTCATAGTTTGCTTACTAGAACCCCAGATTAACTGAGGTGGAAGGGGCCTATAAGGCCATCGAGTCCAACCCCCTGCCTCAAGGCAGGAATCAAAATCAAAACAGATCTGACAGAAGGATGTCCAAAGTTCTCTTGAATGCCTCCAGTACTAGAGTGCTCATCACTTCCTGAGGCAACTGGTTCCAACAGTTAAGAGGTTTTTACTGATATTCAGGCTGACTTTGGCTTCCTATAGCTTGAGCCCATTATTATGTGTCCTGCACTCTGGGATAATGGAGGAAAACAGCCTTTCTCTCCTCTGGATGACTACTTTTCAAGTACAGTGGTGCCCCGCATAGCGATGTTAATCCGTTCCAGGATTAACATCGCTATCCGGATTCGTCGCTATGCGGGGGGAACCCCATAGGAACGCATTAAACTGCGTTTAATGTGTTCCTGTTGGGGAAAAACTCACTGCTATGCGGGGAATCCTCCATCCGGCCACCATTTTCGCTGCCCGGTAAGTGAGGGCAGGGCGCGAAAACACTGCGGGCGCCCATTTTGTTGACCCGGCGGCCATTTTGGAACCGCCGATCAGCTGTTCCCAAAGCATCGCAATGCGAAGATTGGTAAGCGAAACGCTTACCGATCATCGCAATGCGATGTTTTGCCTATTAAAACACCACAATGTGATCGCATTAGCGATCGCAAAAAACGTGTCGCTATGCAGATTCGTCATTAAACAGGGCACTTGTTAAGCGAGGCACCACTGTATTTGAAAAGTGCTGTCAATTCTCCCTTCAGTCCTCTTTTCTTAAGGCTAAACATGTCCAGTTCTTTCAGTCTTTCCTCACAGGGCTTGGTTTCCAGTCCCTTGATCATCCTTGTTGCCCTCCTCTGAACTCACTCCAGTTTGTTGCCCCTCCTGTGTATGAGTACCTCTGTAGGAATTAGTGCGGACATTAAAAATTAAATAGGATTTAGAACCTAGCATTAGGCTGGGCACTCTGCCCCCTCCCCTTGATGGGCTTGTCTGCATGCATTTCTAACTATCTGTCTTATATGTGATTACTCCCAAAGTAGATCAAACACAATGGCCAGAATCCACCAGCGTTAAGTCCACCAACATAGATTTTAGTGGTAAATTGCTGCTAGCTAAGAAGCTGCATCGTGGTCACATGCCTTGGCACACTAGAGGAGATGCAATCTGCAAGTTCTTAATCAGTGACATCAGTGAGATTTACACCAATGAATCTAACGTCAATGTAAGTATTCAACTGGATTTAAGCCAACATGTTGAAGAAGAAAAATCTACAATAGATATCAATTGGAAAGTGTAACCCCTGATTAAGTTCATTAAAGCAAGTGCTGTTTGGCATCGAGGCAGCTCTTTATAAAGCTTATGGTGGAGCAAACTGAAAATAATTCCTCCTTCACATATTACTGTTAGCACCATCAGCACTGTCCTGTGTTTCATTCCCATGAGAAGTATAGCGTATGAGTTGGCAGATCACAATAAGTCTAAGTATCAACATTCCAAATCATCGGCATAAGATATTCATGCTTCTCAAACTGACAATCAATAAATGAGTCTTGCCTTCCATTTCTCATATAAATGCAAATGCAAAGAAAATCTCAGAAGCATTTTAAAAACACATAGGGTGAAAACAGATCTTAAGTATTTTTAGTACTATTAATCAGGAGTGAATAAAAACTTGTTTGGTTCAGATTATAATTTCTG